CGAGTATGTTCTAGACTAACCTTGTCTCTCAGTGGAATCATTTAGGTGGATCGAAATCATCTATTTAAGGTAAACCACAAAAACTATCAACTACGAAAACTTATTGTAGTTTTTGTGGTTTACCTCAAATGGTTGAACATAAACAACGACATAGGTAGATGATGCTACAACAAAAATAAAAACAATGGTATGTTACGTCTCCCGTAACTAAAGTTCAAATTATTCTTAATGTTTGTAAACAAACATGTTGTCATTGACTGTATTCTCTAATATGCTCTATTGAATCAAACACCAGTGTTAATTCCATTGGTAAAAAGCGAAAACTAAAATTAGATTCCGAAATAGATGTATTCAGTCCTGGTGTAATCTGTCTAACCGATGAAAGACGGTTCGCTTTTATACCTTGTGGAAACTGCAACCTGCGTGTCTTGTGGGCTTTATCTTCGAACATGTCCGATTTCTAGAAAACAAATAGAAGCTTTGTTCTGATAGAACATAGAATTCTGACCAAAATAAGACATCTCCCGACTGTCTACAGACCTGTAATGCTTTTTCGGCAGCTGCAGTCGATTTACGAACGGCTACAACAGGCGTTAAAATTACCAGAACATTCCCGTTACAAAGCATTTCAGATTCAAATTCTCTATCGAACGATATATAAAGTAGAGTGGTTAACGAGAAAAGTAATGGATAGTATAATCATGAATGACGCTGATCTACCGGTTTGCTGAGATGCTACCGAGTATTTTTGATATTAGACTAACCAGTTACATTTTCTTAAGACTATCTTATATATCACATCTTGGTGTGTTTTCCTTTCCCTTTGTGTCCGCGGCTCAGTCTTCATGTATTCTCTTAAATTGAATGGATCCGAATATCTAGTATCTCACGGATGAAAGGCGATGAGGCTGCGATGAGTGGATTTTTAATTTTATTATGATGACTAGATAGTCCAAAGTGTTTTCTACAATTCTGCGCAAGGCCGACCTGTCTATCTGTTCTAGTTCTCGAATGGCAGGCAATTTCCTGAATCACCCGAAATTCGTTACCATTTGGTCAGATAAAATGTCTGCCATTCGAGAACCACAACAGATAGAGACGCCGGCGTTGCGCAGAATTGTAGAGAACACTTTGGGCTATCTAACCACCGTGTTACGATCCTTCAAATTCAAATTCAAATTCAATCGTCCTTTTCGAACTGACATAGTTTGCTAAAGTGTGAGGAGACATCCCTTAACTGCAGTGTGAAACCCTTGGCAAAGCTCCTGCACACAGTGGGCATCGAGGCGGAC